AATTATGATTTGGTCTGTTTCTTCTCATGGAGAATGCAATATGTCATTTGATTGCTTGATAGCTGCTTCCATAATTGTTGATGGTGGATCCAAGCAAAATGAAGTATTTGACAACTTCAGTCTTTTCTCCATTTATCACAGGGTTATTTATTATTGGTTAAGTGTTGAGGATTTTTGTTTTCTTTACATTGAGGTGCAACCCATACTGAAGGCTGTGGTCTTTGATCTTCATCAGTATTTTAAGTCCTTTTCATTTTCAGCAAGCATAATTTTATCATTGCATATCACAGGTTGTTAATGAGTCTTCCTACAGATATGATGCCATGTTCTTCTTCATATGGTCCAGTTTCTTGGATTATTAGCATACAGATTGAATAAGTATGATGAAAGAATACAACACTTTCCTGATTTTAAACTAGTCATTATCTCCTTATTTTGTTCAAACAGCTGCCTCTTGATCTGTATACAGGTTCCTAATGAGTGCAATTAAGTGTTTTGGAATATCCATTCTTCACAATCATATCCATAGCTTGTCATGATTCGCACAGATGAAAGACTTTGCATAGTCAATAAAGCACAGGTAAAAAGTTTTCTGGTATTCTCTGCTTTTAATCAAGATCCATTTGACATCAGCAGTGATATCCCTCATTCCACATCCTCGTCTGAATCCAACTTCAACCTCTGACAGTTCCCTGTCAATGTACTGTTCTGCCATTTTTAAATTATCTGCAGCTAATTTTATTTGGATGTGACTTTTCAGTTACTGCATCCATAGGTGTAGGTCAAGTTCATGAAATTGTATCAGATTACTCTTTTTTTTCCTTTTCTTCTAGTTGAGCTCTGATCATTCAGTCTTTGAAGCCAGGTCAAGTAGGTATTATTTGCAAGTGTGGGTGTTCTTGTGTCATATATAATGTTCTTGATGTCATCACACAGTTCTTCTTGTCATTGGTCATTAGTGCCTAATGCATCAAATCTGTTCTTGGCATGGTCTCTAAATTCAGGTAGGATATACTCAAGGTCATATTTTGACTGTCATGGACTTGTTTTCATTTTCTTCAGCTTCAGCCTGAACTTGCATAAGAGTAATGGATGGGCTACTTAAAAGTCAACCTCTGATCTTGCTTTGGCTGGTGATATTGAGTTTCTTCATCATCTCTTTCCACAGATGTAGTCAATTTGATCCCTGTGTATGCCATCTGACAAAGTCCAGATGTCATCATTATTGCATAATTTTGTCATGAAGTCTCCATCATCATTTCTATCACGCACGTGGACCATATTTTCTAACTTCTGAGCCTTCCAACTTTTGCATTCCCATCAGCAGTAATTATCAATACATTTTTATTGCATGTTTGATTAATTTTAGCAAAGAAGTTGGTTGAGTTCTTCAAATTCATCATCACTGGCTTTAGTGGTTAGTGGGTACATTTGAATAATAGTTATATTAACTGGTCTTCTTTATAGGTGTATGGATATTATCCTATCACAGACAGCATTGTACTTCAAGATAGATCTTGAAATGTTCTTTGTGACCATTTATGTGATGCCATGCCTCTTCAGTAGTGGGGGAAAAAAATCAGATAGTAAATCATATGATTGGCCAAATCAAAATGGCCAAATACTTGCCCTTTTCAGCTCACTAATGCCTGCCTAGGAGATCAATCTTTATGCATTCCATTTTGGTTTTGATGCTTCCAATTTTCTAGATTGATACTACATACATTCCACATTCCAATTTTTGATGGATGTTGGCAGCTATCTTTGTCACTAGTGTTCTACAATTTTATTAGGTATAGATTTTTTATTTATGATGTTTAGGGTTCATCAACTTTTTATATCTGTTATTTTTACTTTAAAATTAAAATATATGTATATATATATATATATATATATTTTTTTTTTTTTTTCACTTCTGAAAAGTTCCAGGACGTTTTCTGGACAAATTGCCTCCACTCTGTTCTATCATTTCTCTTTCTGGACTTTGTCTGGATTTATGTTAACCTTTCTCAATCTATGTCCCATGCATCTTCCATCTCTTTATATTTTCTATCTTATGTCTCTCTGTGCTGTGTTCTGGATACTTTCTTCTGCCATTTCTTCATAATTCTTTAAATTGTGCCTAATCTAACATGACTTTCCCATAGAGGTTTTTTTTTTTTCCCATAGAGTTTTTGATGTTAAGTTTTACATTTTTCATTTCTAAAAGTTCTACTTATTTTCCAAAGTGATTTGGTTGTTATTTATAGTTTCTTATTCTCAGCACGTATCTTCTAGGTTATTTTTTACTTTTATAAAACATATTATACCTAATTACACTGTAGTCTGTGACAAAGAATTTTATTATCTGAAGAGCTTGGATGTCCGATTTCACATCTATACTTTCTCCTGCATCTCACTCAAGGTGCCTCATTCTTTCTGTGTTTGCTTTTACTACAATTCTAAGACAATTTTTGTGGGAATTCTGAAATCTTGGATGAAAGCAGTTTCTTCCCGAGAGCATTTGCATTTGGGATGCATAATACCTTGTATTACTGTTGTTGCTGTTGTTAAGTGCCGTTGAGTCGGTCCTGACCTTTAACAACCCTGTATAGGGTTTCCGAGGAGCAGCTGGTGATCTTGAACCAGGGACCTTGCAGTTCAAATGGATTTGCAGTCTGGTGGATTAACCCACAATGCCACACCTTGTAAACTCAGAATTGCTCTGAATTAAATTCTTAATCCTTTACAGGAGGAGAAAGCACATTTTTCTCCCTCACAGCTGCTAGTGGTTTTGAATCTCCATTCCTGTGGTTAGCAGTCCAGTGCTTATCTTACAATGCCACCAGGGTTACTTTATAAATACCTTGTTGTCGTTAAGTGCCATCAAGTCAATTCCAACTTACAGCGACCGTGTATAGAGCATCCAAGGAGCACAACCTTGGAGTTAGCATTCCAGTGTTTATCTACAGTGTCACAGATGAAACCTTGTGTGAGTGGTGGTGATGATGGTTGTGTGCTCTGGCGTTTGTTTGGTTCATAACAACCCTGTATAGGGTTTCTGAGACTGTCAGTCTTTATGGAAGCAGAAAACTTCATCCTTTCCCCAAAGAGTAGATGGTAAATATGAACTGCTGACCTGGAAATCTGCAGCCCAACTCCCACTCACATGACTATGATGATGTGGACGGCTGTTTTACAATGTCAGAGCCCTACGTCCAGTCTTTATTTTCGCATTGCCTAGAATTTATCGTGAGAATGAAGAGTTTTTATCAATTATGTTGCTAAGGAAACTTTGTGTTTGCCCAATACCATCTATAAGAGGGTTCAGTCTCAATGGTAATACTCAGTTTTTATTTATCAACTGCTTTTGTTCAATCCACAGAGTTGGTGTTTTACACTCTGCTCACAGTATTAGGAGAGTAACTTCTACAGTGGTTCTAAGGAGAACATGGGTCCTCCATCACATAGAGAATTACATATGGTACTTGCTGTATAAGAGGGTTAAATCTCCTACCTTGAAACTTACTCAGTCCCATGTAGGTGCAAAGGTTGCTCTTGCACAGCTTTGTCCAGCATGCACTCTAGCATCTAGACCGAGGTGAGCACCGAGTTGTTGTTGTTGTTGTTAAGTGCCGTCGAGTCGGTTCCGACCCATAGCGACCCTGTACAGGGTTTCCGAGGGTGTAAATCTTTACGGGAGTAGAAAGCCTCATCTTTCTCCCGCGGAGCGGCTGGTAGTTTCGAACCGCTGACCTTAAGGTTCGCAGCCCGATTCGTAGCCACTACGCTACCAGAGCTCACCGAGTAGATCCTCAAAAACACTTGTTAACTAACTGATTGTTGAAGCCAGATATTTCTTTCTAACTCAATAGAGAATCACCTAGACATGTTTTTAAAGTGTCTATGCAGCAGGAACAGTAGTAGTCTAGTGACAAAATAGGCACCTTAGATGCAAGAGAACTGAGTTTGATTCCTGGCCAGTGAACTTCAGTGCAGCCACTACCTGTGTGTCGGTGGAAGGTTTCATGTTTCTATGATGCTTAACAAATTTCAGCAAAGCTACCAAACTAAAATAAACTAGGGGAAAGAGCCTGGAGACCTTCCTCCTAAAATGAGCCAGTGAAAATCCTATAGACCACAGTACTATAGTCCCACTGTGTATGGGTGACTTGACAGCAGCTAGCAACAACAAAAACATACACCACAGCACAACACTTCTTCTTTCCATTGGGATATGACACTTCAAAGTTTACAACGGAAATATTTGAAGTCTTGTCTGCTTAACAAAACTATTAGTTCCACGAGAGAGGAACCCACTTACCTCTCCCCATATTTCTCACAGGTTAGTATAATGCCACCCACGTGTGTGGCTAGTATTCAGTAAGCTGAGTAGATTGGTTGATTGATTAAAAGAGCATATGAATGTGTGCCCGTGAATACCATAAACAAGCAATTTCAGAGCTGATATTGCCTACTCCTTTCAGCAGTTCAAAACTACCAGCTGTTCCACAGGAGAAAGATGAGGCTTTCTGCTCCCATAAAGATTTACAGCATTGGAAACCCTGTACAGGGTCACTATGAGTCGGTTTCGACTCCACGGCACATAACCACCACCACCATTGCCTACTGCTTAGCCAATAGTTGCCAAATGCAGTAACTTAGGCTCTACAGGTCAAAAATGTAACTGCTTTTACTTATTTGTTAACGGTATGACACCCCACCCCATCCCCATAGAAAATTCTTTTCCTATGTGACCTCCAGGAGAGGTCAGAACCGTGACTGTAGAACACAGTAAAGATGTAAGAGTACCACCTCAGTATAGGACCTCTGACTTTGCCATAGTTAGTGGATCACAGAAAGCTAATCATACCTTTTTAGTCTCTGAACACAGCCTATAGGAAGAACCCTGCCTTATGGCATGAGCTGCCTGTACTCTTTCCAAACCTTTGGTTTCTGGGCAAGGTGAAACGTGATGAGACTATCTACCAGGATCTTTGTCTGTCTTTGTCTCTCTGCAGCTGCGGGTTTTCAAGTTGGCCAAGTCCTGGCCAACCTTAAACACACTCATTAAGATCATCGGAAATTCAGTGGGGGCTCTGGGGAACCTCACCATGATCCTCTGTATCATCGTCTTTGTCTTCGCTCTGGTTGGCAAGCAGCTTCTCGGGGAAGACTACGCCAATAACTACCAAAAAATTACTGTACTGGGTGAAGAAAAGCCTCGTTGGCACATGCAAGACTTCTTCCACTCCTTCCTCATTGTCTTCCGGATCCTCTGTGGGGAGTGGATCGAGAACATGTGGGCCTGCATGGAAGTCAGTCAGAAACCATCCGTGTGCATCATCCTTTTCTTGATGGTGATGGTGCTGGGGAACCTAGTGGTGAGTGATGAGATCCACTGGGGCCACTCTTGTGGGCAAAGAAGCAGCTATTGGGGTATCCTAAAAAGCAGTGACATGGCACATTCTCCTACCTAAATGGTTCCTCCCTCATCTTTAGTCTTCCAACGTTTCAAAGTTACATGGGATACATTACAGGAGGTATCCCTTGGGGGACATCCTGGCTTGCTGAAATGAGTACATGTGACAGAGAAGGAAGACCCATTTAGAATCCCAGCTTTACCACCTACTAGCTGGGTGACCCAGGCAAGAGTTTGGATCACCCTGAGCTCTGGTTTCCTCAGGATCAAGAAAATTGTGTTTATTCGTGGGTTTACTGGGAGCATTAAATGACAGGAGATGACGTGCAAATTGCCCAGTGCAGTGTTTGGACCACAGCAGGCACTCAATAAACGGTGGCCATTAGTTGTTGACGGAAAAATTTCCCTCTGTGCTGTAGGGGGTTAAAAATATATTTTTCTTCAATGGAGCAATAGTTGGCTGATTTCTCCAAGTTGCACAGGTCCAAGTTAGGAACCAGGACAGTTTAATTGGACAAGACAAAAGAGAGAACCCAGGTCATGAACAACTTCAAAACCCACAAAATAGGTTTTTTAAAAAACTCCCTCCTCCTCACTAGATTTCGAGAATCCTTCTGGAGACCTTCCTGCCAATTAGCCACCTTCTCTGTCCCAGCCTGGTTCCTCACCCATGAATTGTCTCCACTCACTCTCCTCCAGGGTATCCCTGCCCTCCCAGCAATGGCTGACTCTGTGATAAGATGTGATTTTCCAGGGGCCCCTTGCTTATTGCCCTGGAAGTCAACCAACTTCCAACTGTAATCCAGAGCCCTGAAGGGGACCCAATTCCCAGGGAACCCATGGATGAACACAGTGGCTTCATGACCAATCCTAACATATGGGTCTCTGTGTCCAATGACATAGGTGAATCTGGCCTTGGGAACTTGCAGAATGATGGTGAGGAGGATGCTCAGAGCTCCAGATAGGATGTAGCCCCCAAAGGGCAGTTCTTTCCCTCATAAGAGTGTTATAGGCCATCCCTTTGGGATGAAACAATGAATTTGAAGTCCTTCCCAAAGTGGTCCCTGAACTGGAGATGCCTTCTGTCTACTTTCCCAAAGAGAGGCTGTTTAAAACGCCTACTCCCACTTTCCATGCCCTGCGTTTCTTCCAGGCTGAACTCACCATCTCTGCAAACCCTTAGGCTAAACACTTGTACATCCCTCATGTCATTTCATCTTTACAACTACTCTGAAAGGTAGAGAGCAAGCCCCCACTCCTTGCTTACAGAGAAAGAACATGATGATGGCAGCCTGGAGATGTGCTCAAGATTCCAAAGTGAGAAATAAAAACCAAGGCTTAGGCAGGTGACGCTGGTTCTAGGCAGACCTGAGCCTGCTAGTCTCTGTTGCCCTGAATGTCCTGGAGCTCACCAGGATGATCCTCCACTGTGATGGAAGATGTACTTTCATGTTTCCTCCACATGAGGCAGATCACTATGGGATGTTCCCAAGGCTTTCTGAGCTGATCTCAGAATGAGTGTCCCCCCCCCCCCCCCCCCCGCCAACAGGTAGCACTCTGGGTGGACAGGAAAGGCCCAGGATGGGGCTGTCATATTATTCAGCTGGTGGGCTACGGTAGGGTTCAGCCCTGTGGTGGATTGCTCTCCTCTCCCATTTCTTTTCTTCAGGTGCTCAACCTCTTCATCGCCCTGCTGCTGAACTCTTTCAGTGCTGACAACCTCACAGCCCCAGAAGATGACGGGGAGGTAAACAACCTGCAGGTGGCGCTGGCGCGGATCCAGGCAATTGGCTGTTCCATCAAGCAGGCTGTCTGTAGCTTCCTCCATAGACCCTGCCTTCTCCCCCGGCCCAAGACTGATCCCAAAATGGTGGTGAAACTCCCACTCTCCAAATCCAGAGCTGAGAACCACAGTGCTGTTGATGCTGCAGTGGGGAACCCTGGAGGGGTCCTGGCCCCTCAAGGTCCCAGGGATGAACACAGTGACTTCATAGCTAATCCCAATGTGTGGGTCTCTGTGCCCATTGCCGAGGGTGAATCTGACCTAGATGACTTGGAAGATGATAATGAAGAGGATGCTCGAAGCTCCAGAAAAGAAATAGTCCCCAAAGGTCAGGTAAGAATTTTCCCCTGGGTCAGCCACAGGAAGCAGGGAAAGGCCTCAGGGTTAGAGTGTCCCAGGACAGGAGGGAAAGTGGTTTTCCAACATCAGGGCTAGTACAGCCTTGAAGAATCCCTGGCAAGCCAGACCTAGGTGACCTTGAGGTAAGGAAACATGAATAATGCCAAGCCTTCTGAAGAAGGTGATAGTTGAGCTGGCCCTGGAAGAAAGAATTCCCAAGACGAAAGGCACAAGAGAGTGATTCAGCCCTCTTTCACACAGCCGCCCCATTCTCTCTGCCCAACCCTGGCCTTATGTATGAGATGCTAATGAGATTCCACTAAGAATAGGGTTTTGTCGTAGAGCAAGATTCATTTAATGTACACCCTCAGAAGTCGTGATTTTTACATTGCTCGTTGATCCAGGCTTTCCCTACAAGTGATGTAATGTTGTTGTTTTTGTTAGGTGCCATGGAGTCATTTCCAACTCATAGCAATCTTATGCATACAAAATAAAACATTGCCGGGTCCTGTGCCAAACTTATAATTGTCATCACACTGGAGCCCATTGTTGCTGCCACCATTCCAGTCTATCTTGTTGGGGGCCCTCCTCTTTTTCGCTAATCCTCCACTTTACCAAGCATGATGTCCTTCTTCAGGCACTGGTTCCTCTTGATAATATAGCCAAAGTATGAGAGAAGAAGTCTGGTCATACTGGCTTCTAAGGAGCCTTCTGGCTGTACTTTTTCCCTCACAGATTTGTTAGTTCTGTTAATATTCTTCTCTAACACCATAACTCAAAATGCATCAATTCTTCTATAGACTTTTTTATTCATTGCCCAACTTTTACATGCATTTGAGGCTATTGAAAATATCATGGCTTGGGTCAAGCGCCGCTTAGTCTTCAAAGTGACGTCTTGAACACCTTACAGAGGTCTTCTACAACAGATTTGCCTAATTCACAATGTCGTTTAATTTCTGAACTGCTGCTTCCATGAGTACTGACGGTGGATCCAAGTAAAATAGAAGTTTTGACAACTTCTATCTTTTCTCCATTTATCATGATGCTATTTATTGCATCATGAGGATTTTTGTTTTCTTTGCACTGAAGTGCAACCCGTACTGAAGACTGAGATCTTTGATCTTCATCAGTAAGTATTTTAAATCCTCTTCGCTTTCAGCAAGTAAGGTTGTATTATTGGCATATCACAGGTTGTTTACTGAGTTTTCCTCCAATCCTGATGCCACATTCTTTGTCACATAATCCAGTTTCTTGGATTCTTCACTCAGCATACAAATTGAATAAGGATGGTGAAAGAATACAACCCTGGCACACACCTTTCCTGATTTTAAACCATTCCGTGTTCCCTTGTTCTGTTTGGATCACTGCCTCTTGGTCTATGCATGGGTTCCCCATAAGCACAGTTTAAGAGTTCTGGAATACTCATTGTCCACAATGCTTTCCATAGCTTAACATTGTCCCCACAGTCAAAAGCCTTTGGGTAGTCAATAAAGCACAGGGAAACATATTTCTGTTATTCTCTGCTTTCAGTCAAGATTCATCTGATGTCGGCAATGATATCCCTCATTCCACATTTATGTCATAGAGAAATAAAATGTGTCACTTTGGGCATCAAAAATTCAAAAGCACATATAAACCACTTGGTACTACATATTTTTAAATATTTTGCACAACCACTTACCACCTTAAACTGATATATCATTAATGTCTTCTTAGCAACTCGGAGTACATTTCTGCATGAGGTGGGAAGGTAGGAATCCCTGTGGGACTCCGGAGACAGGCAGGGCTGTTGGCCAGGCCATAAAGTGGCTCTTGATACCTGTGCTTTGAGTCTGTATCTCTTCCACAGTCTCCTGAGTTGTCAACTCTGTGTTTCCGAAGCTGCTCTTACCAGCTGCCATACTGTACAGGCCTTGGTTTGGGTGACAGTTGAAGGTAGACTGTCCCCACCCCCAGAATAAAGGCTGTGAACTCAGTAATGGCTGCCTACTATTCGGAGGCATTTTCAGTTACTTTGGAGTCCTTGGGAGGCTACAGATGGCCAAGTTCACTATCACCATGACCTCTGGACAAACAATAAAGATTGTGGCTAACATCTATAAGCCAAGCACTTCATGTAGAGTTTTCCAAGTATTAACATAATCATCATAGTAACCAAATGAAGTAGGGCCTGCCTTCTCCATTTTTCAGGTGGGGAAAATAAGGATCAGGTTATTTAACTTCGCTGATCCTGGTGTGGCGCTATAGGATAAGCACTCAATCACAAAGTCAGTTTGAACTGCAAGATCAGGGGTTCCAACTCACCAGGTGCTCTTCAGAAACCCTATGCATGGTTGCCATGGGTTGGAATTGACTCAGAGGGACTTAGCAACAACAACAATGTCACACAGATTGTAGAGCCAAAAGTCAAATCCAAATCTATCTGGATGTAGAAGCTTCATGCTCACGTCACATAAGTATTCATATATTGTGTATGTGAGAGTAGGTCCTTGACTCTGTCTGTCTGTGCTGTACTGTTGCTGTTATTATGTGGTCTCAAGTTGGTTCTGACTTATAGCAACCCTCTAGAGGGTTTCCAAGGAGCAGCTGGTGGGCTTGAACTGCCAACCTTGTAGTAAGCTGTCTAGTGCAGATCCTACAGTGCCACACCAGGACTAGTTCTCTCTAAATTTAGAAATGCTCGGCTAAATGTGAATCCAAGTACCCAGCTGGGACTCTCTCACTAGCAGGAGCAGCTGCAGCAAGTTGGGAAGTATGAGGCCCACCTGGCACCCAGGAGCCCAGGCTCTGGAATGTCTTCTGAGGACCTGGCTCTGTACCTGGGGGAGAAGTGGAGAGATAAGACTGCTTCCCAGGATCCTGCAGAGGTAGGTATGTGGAGTACTAGAGAGGTTGGATAGCCAGTTGGCTCGTGGGTAGTGCAGCTGGCAGGCAGGGCAAGGAGCGCAGTGCAGACTGCATGAGACTGCATAAACTCATTTTTCATCCTGGGAATTTTCAAGTGTCTGTCCAGTCTCTGTACCTCTCAGCACAATTTCAACTTGCACTATGCATACCATTGTCACAACCTGGACCCCAGCTGGTTGTAGGTATGGCAGGAAAGTGTGAGAATCCACATGCTGTGGGGACTGGGACAAGTTCCTTAACTTCTCTGAGCCTCTGCTTCTCTCCGAAACCGAGTATTAATGCCGACTTTGTAGGATTATTTTGAGGCTTCAATAAGTTGCTGCTTGTCAAGTGTTTGGCTCCTGCCTGAAACCAACTAAGTGCCCAGAAGATGACAGTTAAGAAAAAAGGTAACAAAGGAAATACACAAAGAAAGTTAAATATGTTTCAAAGGCAGCAGATGAAAGTTGTAGTTGTTTATGGGTGAAGACGTCTTTCCTGTCTCCTCTGCTTTCTTTTGTCCACATCACCACATTCTCTAGCCAAAAACAGACCATGCTGGGGAGCTCAGTCTATAGGTGAGTCGTGAACTGTCAGTCTGACAGAGACAGAGCAGGAAGAGATTCGAGACCGAAAATGTCTCACAAGAGGAAAAAAATAAACCTGTGGCATCACTTAAAATCTATGAAGAAAACAAGCTATAGGAAAAGAGCTAACTCTCTAGATTTAACAGTTTGAATTCTGTTGCTATGTGCCATGGAGTTGATTCTAACTCATAGTAACTTCAGGCAGCGGAATGGGACTGGTCTTCTAGGCTGCAATCTTTGCGGGAGGAGATTGGCAGGTCGTTCCTCCCATGGGGCCACTTTTTGTTATTAAGTGCCGTCGAGTCAGTTCCAACCCATAACGACCCTGTGTAGGGTTTCCAAGGAGTGACTGGTGAGCTTGAACCAGCAACCTTGTAGTTCAAATGGCTTTGCAATCTGACGCATTAACTCACAGCGCCACACCAGGACTCCACTAGGTAAATTCAAACCACCAACCTTTCGGTAAGCCACCAAGTGCTTAACCACTGCATCACCATCAGGGTTCCTGGTAAAGACAAAAACCCAAATAAACTCATAGCACCCCTATATGACAGAGTGAAAGTGTTCCTTAGGGTCTCGGAGACTGTCGCTCTTTATGGGAGCAGCTAGCTAGCTTCATCTTTCTCCCTGCTCTTAGCAGCTCAGCACTTAACCTACGATGCCACCAGAGTTCCTTAGGTAAATGATAAAGAAGATGTAATTCATTATCAAAGCCATCAAACCCTTCAGCTTGAGCAATGTTAGCTCCTGGATGACCACAACTGAGTGAGGTGACAGGGCAGCTGAGGTGGGACTTGTGGAACATAAGCCACTTGGTTTTGCTGGACAAGTGTGGTCACATTCAATACACGGACACTATGTTTCTTGGAAGGTTTCAAAGGACTTCCCTGGCTAGTTGGGTTATTTTTGTGTGTGTCCCCCCCCACCCCCCTTTCCTCAGTGTTTTCAGTACACAACTGCTGGGTGTTGGTTTTGCTTTTTTTTCACTCCATGACCCTGGACAGGCAGGGAGGGGCTGACAGCCACAGATGGAGACCCACCCTGCCATTTGGGTCCATTAGCAAGGCTATCAGGTTTGCTAATATGAGAGCAGCTTCAACTAACTCCTAATTGAATTCATCTGGAGACATTATAGGGCTGGCGCTGCCAGGAGGGCACCAGGCCCCTGCAGTGCTGCTCCGTGATTAAATATTCAAGCCCAGAGAATGTTGAGAGTCTTTATGGGTGTAATTACGGTGTCTCGGGTCATTGCCAGCCCTCCATCAGGGACCCAGGGGTTTGAAGCCTCTCACAGCTGAACCTCTGGGACCTTAGCTGGCACGGCACCAAACACATGAGGAACACCTTAGCCTCAGCAGGCCCCAAGCCCACAGGGCTCTCCCTGTACCTCAAAGCTCCTAGCCAGTTTGCTGTGTAGGTACTTGTGCAGATCCACCGGGCCCTTCAGAGAACTGAATTCGCTGCCCTGTGCTTCTGTCCTGCAGGTGGTGGACTTCGCGAGCTCCTCAGAAGGCAGCACAGTAGACTGCCCAGATCCTGAGGAGATGCTTAGGAAGATCCCAGAGCTGGCAGATGACCTCGAAGAGCCAGATGACTGTTTCACAGAAGGTAAAGTGGCAACTGCAGGCCTCCTCACAGAGATAATAGGAGAACAGAGTCCAGGTCAACACTGACTCATCTGGATACATCCTGTCCAGCACCCTCACATGGGATCCACAGGACTCAAATAGGGCCTCTTATTGCACACCTTTACCCCCGAGACTTGAAGGGGCCAGGGTCAAAAAAATTGCCCACCACTCACAGAAGTCTCATGGCAGTATCTCTGCCACACACCGTGTCAGACAAGGCAAACAGAAGAACAGTAGGGGCGTGTCTCATCATCACGCTCAAAAGCATCTTGCTGAGTTCTAAAGCAGCCTCCCTGAGGTTGAAAAGAGAAAAGGTAGTCACCAGTCTAAGAGCTCCTGACGGAGTACATAAAAGACCCAGCGGAGGGCCAGCGCATGTCTGTTTCCCTTTATTTTTCATATAACTCTTGAAGGCAGAACCTGTATCTTAACTTACCTTCTCAATAAATGTCTGTACGATGAATGAACGACAAACAGTTCATCACTTTAATGAAGGTAATGGTGGTCTCGATCTTTTTTTACAAATATAACTGGGTGTCCAGTTCTACTTGACTGTAGACTCAGGATCCGTCCCATATGATCACCCCTCAGTCCAGCGTGGACTAAACTCCTAGCTGCCAGAGAAACATGAGAGGAGTAGACATAGTGACAAGGACCTTGGTATCATCTGTAAGTCAGGGGATCGGAAATGGGTGATGGGGAGGAACCTAGAAGGCAGTACTGAGAGACTGAATGAGGAAGACCCCTCTCCTCTCATATTCCAGAGAGTACTTCTTCTCCAAAGGGGTAGAGAGTGGGCTGCCCAGCAGAGTGGTTGTAGAGAATTGGAAGAGCTAGAGCAGGAACAGTCCCCTATCCAATGGGACATCACCCACCGTCAATCCCATCTTTCCACAGGCTGCATGCGCCGCTGTCCCTGCTGCAAAGTGGACACCACCAAGGTTCTTTGGGGTGTGGGCTGGCAAGTACGCAAAACCTGCTACCGCATCGTGGAGCACAGCTGGTTTGAGACTTTCATCATCTTCATGATCCTTCTCAGCAGTGGAGCGCTGGTAAGAGGGTGACTTAGGGAGTCCCCACCACAAAGTACTCCAGAGAGGATGCCCCACAAACCAGAGACCCAGAGCCACATCAGTGGGTTCCCCTGATTCCTGAGCTGAAAACCCCCATCCTGTAGCTAGAAGGAAAACTAAAGCCCAGTGCAAGGACACCTTTTGTTTTGTTTTTTTTAACTGTGGTAAACGCATACATACACACCAAAGCGTTTGTGAATTCTATGATCTATACATGTAAAATTCAGTGGTGTGGATTGCATTTGTAATATACAACAATATTCACTATCTTTTTCCAAGTTATTCCACCATCCTTATAAATTTAATACCTCTAACCAATCCCTTCTTCCCAGCCCTGGCTTGTTGTCATTAAGTGCTCTCCATTCGGTTCCAACTAATAGCAACCCTGTATAGGGTTTCTGAGGAGCAGCTGGTGAGTTTCAACCGCTGACCTTGTGATACAAACAATCTTGCAATCCACGGCTTATCCTACAGTGCCACACCAGGACTCCTTCCAGCCCTGGTAACCACTAATAATCTTTATTTTCTGTATAGTTGTTTGTGTCATTTAAGTGAGTTTCTGGAGCGTTTGTCTTTTGTGACTGTCTTATTTCACTTAACATGTTTTCTAGGTTCATGTATACTTTGTTTCCACCTTTTGGCTACTGTGTGTGTGTGGAGGGGGAATTGTAATGAACATTGGTATATAGGTTTCTGTTTGCATTCCTGCTTTCAATTAAGGATACCTTTTAAAGCAGGACTACCTAGATGCTCAGGTGCCCTGGCATGTCATAGCCTGTTAAATCTAGCTATAAATATTACAAGAAGTGAATGCATTCCCCTTTATAGATGGGAAAACCGACTGTGGTGAAATTAGTTTATGTGGCCTTTTGTCTTGGTTCTTTGGAAAACAACTTGAGACATTTTCCCCCTGAGACCAAAGGAGTTACCTTTGCCCAAAATTTCTACCCAGGAGGATTTGTTTCTTTTGCCCAGGTTGATTGGCAACTTAAGCTTTTGTATTGTTTTAAACTTTTTATTGTGAACTCAGTGAAGGTTTACAGAGCAGATAATCCGTTTTGCATTCAACAAATCATACACTTGGTTTCATGACTTTTTTTTTTTTTTTTTAACTTTTTGTCTGATTCTGGGCTGCAGCCTGCCCATGAATGGTATGCACCTTGCTGAAATTGGTCAATAGATTATGTAAATGTGTGAGTTGTAACCTACTTTGCAAATGAAACATCTGTGGCCTATTGAGAGGGGATTGGTCAGTGTGTGGACCCCCACTGGGAGAGGCCTGCCTTGAAGTTGACAAGACATTGTATATACATATGCAGTCAGCCCCACATAGGTTTTAGATACTGAAAAAAGCAGAAAGAGAAACAGAGAGGGACAAAGTAGAGAGAGAGGTGAGGCAAGGAACCTCCTAAAAGAGTTAGAAGACAGTCAAGAACTATAACACTTAAGACAGCAAGAGTCCTGGAGAAGGCCCAGAAGTAGAACTGCCAGTGACTGAGGGCAGGGCCAAGAAATCCCTGAGGGGACAGGAAGAAGGCTTGCATGACCAAGATGAGCTAAGAGCCTTCCTATAGGAAAGGAGGGAGACTTTGCCTACATTCTTCTTGATCTAGATCCTGAGCTGTACCCTGTTCCTTAATAAATCATTTAACACTAAGTACAGCTGTTACTTCCATTAGTAAGGAGCTCTGGTAGCATAGTGGTTACCAATCAGGCTGCGAACCTTAAGGTCAGCGGTTCGAAACTACCAGCCGCTCTGCGGGAGAAAGATAAGGCTTTCTACTCCCATAAAGATTTACAACCTCGGAAACCCTGTACAGGGTCTCTATGGGTCGGAACCGACTTGACGGCACTTAACAACAACAACAACAGCTCATGCGTTCTGTGAGGTGTTGCAGTGAATTGCCATATCCAAACAAGAGAAGAATAATGCTCAGGGGAAGAAGAATGATTGATGTCAGGAATGGAGTAATACGCCAGCTTGGAGAATGTGGAAGTCTGGGATATATTTGACCTCCACTTCATAGGAATTTACATTTTGCTGATTCTTTGCTGACATCAACAATCTCTCCAACACATTCTTCTCAACTAGAATCAATAATTCATTTTGATAGCCATATAGAACTACAAGTTAGGGATTTACTAAGGAAGTTAAGAGATTACAAGTCAGGGTCAGAAATGCTCAGGGCACGGTTCTTCCAGTCAGGACAGTGTCTCCTTAACCATGCCTACAGGCAGACCTCTCAAATCCTCAGTCCCTTAGCCTCTGCCCTGCTTAGGCAATGTTCAAAGCTTTCAGCACTGATAAGTGCCCAAAGGGCATTCCATTCCACCAAAACCCTCAGCCAGAAGGTACTAAGCTCTGGCTCCATGAGTCAGCAAACCTAGGTCCCCAATTAAATGCCTGGAGGCACTCCATTCCACAAGTGAGCCTCCTGCCCAAAGCCACTCAGCTTCACTTGCTCCCTGGCCTGGGAAGCCAGAACACCACTTTGTTTAGTGTTCTGGCTTTTGCTCCTCTGCCACCCCTCTGTGACTCCTCCATGTCACAGATTTCTGTCCCTGGATCAAGGAGGTTCAGTGCACAAGGGATCTTGGGGTCCAAAGGAAGTCCTCCACTCCTGCATCTTCTTCCTTGATGGTGGTGAGATGTTCACCCTCATACCCCGTCTGCTTGAGATGGCTCACTGTCTGACCACCAGGATAATAAAATTGACCAATCACAATTAGCCTTGTTAACACTCACAACTGAATCGTTTAATCTAGTATCATCTTCCCCACCTACTTTTACCCAGACCCATGAGGAAAACGTCATTTGGTAAGAGTTTACAAAGACTATGGCTAGAAGAGACACTACATAATCTGCTGCAATGCAGAGGAGAATTTAAAGGACATAGCCAAGAACACCTAGCTTTTCTGTAGCTAAACCTAGCTTTGCTCTCATATCTGTATGATCCCAAAGCATCCTGGCTTTCCACCTAATAACCTCAAGCCACTCCTTCAAAGCTGGAGGCAAATCATTATAGCATACCTCTCAAAATTGAACCACCCGAGGAGCATGTAAAATGTAGATTCTGATTCTGTAGCTCTGTGGTGGGGCCTGAGAATTTGCAATTCCAACAAGCTGCCAGGTTATGCTGCTGTAGATGGTCCACACATCACCCTTTGAATAGCAAGAAATAGAGGTTTCTAGTTAGGAAGTCCATCCTGAGCAATTTGTTTAACATCAGGCTTTGTAGGACAAGGAAAGATAGCTCCTTTATGCTATGATGTAAGCTCATTACACAATTAAATAATCATCCTGGTCTACACAAGGAGGACTCAGTATCCCCAGTTGTGCCCTTTCTTCAGATGAGTAAGTCAAAACCCAAAGACATGAAGGCATCTATCAGGGTCCCAGATTAACAGGCTAGGATTACTGCCCCACACTGCTAATTCATGGCTCCAGTTGTTTTCACTTGTCTTGTTCTTCATTTGTCCTTGAAAGCAACCTGCCTACTAAATGTCTGGTCACCCACTTAAATGCCAGATGTCTCAGGAAGGGTGTTCAGTGTGTGGCCTCAGCCTGAGGGAGACACAAATGAGAATGAGAAGGCAAAAGCAGAGAAGTTGGAGGAAAACTAGGGCAACAATGACACAACCCAAAGGAGAAAAGCATTTCAAAGAGGAGAGACTGGGTTCTGGGGCAAGATAGCAAAGCAGGCAGACACACTGAGCATACCTCTGCGACAAGAACGCTGAAGACCAAGTGAAATAGATACAGATGGTGATTATGGAATCCTGGGCTTCAGAGGAAAGGATAGAGAGGTGGACTGAGTGCCTACTGGGAGAGGAAGCTGCCCAGGAGCATTGAGAGATAAGACAGATCATGTGTACTGTCTGCTGCCATCTTGAGCTTTTGCAGGCAGCTGTCAATGGGAGGTTGTTGGCAAGGGGGACATCGTTCTCTCTTGTTTCCCCACACACCCTCCTGGTGATTGAGAGTGTGACCAGCCCAAAAGCCAGTGACATCCCTTTCTACAAAGTCTCTGTTCTGCCTGGGACTGGATCCCAGGGTATACCATCCCAATGTCTAGAAGTTCCTGAATTTTCATCTCGTTGGATCTTTTATTGTGTTGTCTGTTTTGGAGCGATAGCAGTTGTGACCCTACAGCCCAGTCACACTCATGCTTTCAATGGTCCGCCTATCTGGGACCCACTACCTAATCCTATACCAGCTGACCAATGATAATTAGCAGGCAGCATTAGACAAAGCCTCCCTGAACTATGTTACACAAACATCAGACAAAGAACTGTTAAGCACTTTTAATCTCTGTCACATCAACCAGGAAAGAAGTGTGTGCATAAGAATACACTAGCATTTTTGTTATTAAGCCATTGAGTTAGTTCTGACCCACAGTTACCCTGTATAGGGTTTCCGAGGAGCAACTGGTAAGCTTGAACCAATGACCTTGAGGTTGAAACTGACTTTGCAGTCAAGCATGTTAACCCACAGCGCCACACCAGGACTCCATACTATCATACAATCATCAATTAAAATAAATACGACACCACAATGTCTTAGAGAAAACAGGCAATTTCAGCTTACATGATGAAAAAAAACTGAGGGGTTCAAAGAAGTGAACAAAATATAGAGTCAGAAAATGTAATACTAGAAATGGTATCAGAGCTACCTAATAAGGAATATAAAAGAATTATTTTGAGATACCTCCAACAAATTAAGAGAATGATCAAGAAAGCTACAGATGAAAGCAAGGAGAACACAGAAAAAAACCTTTAAAATAATTCAGGAAAACATTACAAGAGCAAACTGACAAAATAAATGAAAAATTAGAAACCATACAAAAACAGCAAATATAAATCCATAAGGCTAATATTAAGATTTCAGAAATGGATAACACATGAAAAGAGCAGAGAAGTAGAATTGAGTCAATGGACTACTGAATTGGTGAACTTGAGGACAAATCCCTCAATATTCACCTGCTAGAGGAGTCTTGGTGTGGTGCTGTGGGCTAATACGTCAGACTGCAAAGTCGTTTGAACTTCTAGGTCAGTGGTTCAAGCACACCATCATGACCCTAAAACCCAAGCCTGACTTCTTGCTTAGCCCAACCCAACCTAACCCTTACCCAAAAACTAAGCCTAGTCCTAACCATAACGCTACCTGAAACGCTAACCCTAACTCCTTATTGCTACCTGCCCCTTCCACTCAAAAAACTAAAAAGAAATCAGCGAGCAGGGACTGGTGGGCCATCTTGGGTTCAATCGAGTTGGCAGATATGATGGGATCTGTCCGTTGTCTTGGCACGTCCACCATGACTGCAACAACCTCAGCACAGCAATGGGTGGAGGCCAAATTCTCAGGACAGGAGAGGGCTATGCAGTGCTTTCTCTCCTGACTGTCTTCTTTGATAAAAATACTAATCTCATGGACTGTATGTACACTGGGTGTGTTCCTCATGACCTCATGACCTCAATTCCTCATGGACACAGATCTCTCCCAGTGGATTTTCTCTCCTCCTTTGCTCCTTCTTCACATTCCTAGCTGGAAGACCTTACAACAACTACTCCTGCCCCAGCGCTGGCCCAACCCAACAGCTACCCTCTTTATTTCTTATCTTCTTCCACAAGCAATTGGTATGCTTACACTAAATTTAGTTGTCTTTATGCTTTTACTTTGAGCACTAAATAATAATTATGTGTTTTTATCTGACAAACTAAAGTGCAAAATAAAATTTTAGAAAACTGAGAAATTATACAAAAATGCAAAAGAAAAAAGTCCCCCATTTTCCCATCATTCCGAGAAAAGTTCACTTTGAAAGCATTTTGGCGTACTTTCCTTCAAATTTCTTGTGCATGTAACACATAAATATGAAAATGAATGAAGCCATGTGTAAGCATTCTGTAAGATAGGACATTTTCTCAGTAATGTGTGGTGCTGTGGGATAAAGCCCTGGACTATAAAGCAAAGGCTAGTTTGAACCAAAAAGTCAGCAGGTCGAACTCACCAATTGCTCCTCAAAAACCTTATACAGGGTTGCTATGAGTCAGAACCAATTCAACAGCACTTACCAACAACAGCAATCTTGTTTAATGGAGTGCTGGTGGCACTGTAGGATAAACACTGGACTGCTAACCACAGGTCGACAGTTCAAACCCACCCACCGGTCTTTGGTAACCCTATACAGGCTCACTGAGTCAGAAATGATTTGATGGCACTTAACAACATGTTTACTTCTAGACTCCTGGTATGGCGCTATAGTATAAACACTGGGCTGCTAACCAAAAGGTCAATTGATCACACCCACCAGATGCTCCTCTGAAACTCAATATAGGGTTGCTATGAGATGATAGCACTTAATAATAACATTTACTTCTAATGTGCAGCAAATATCCTTTGGGTGCTCCTCTGAAGAGTTGGATTCTTGTCCCATCTTAGATCCAATCGTAGAAGAAGCTGAAGCAGAGATTCTTGTATAAGTACTTTATTGAAGGGGTGTTGTCAGGTGACGTTTGTGAGGGAAGCAGGATCGATCACCCACTGTCACTGAGTCGATTCCAACTCACAACAACCCTATCACACAGATAGAACTGCTCCTTAGGGCTCCGGAGGCTGTACTGCTTTACAGGAGCAGACAGCCTCAGCTTTCTCCCTCAGAGCAGCTGATGGGTTTGAACCACCGACCTTTCAGTTGGCAGCCCAATACTAACAGGGCTTCTTATCAAAATAGAATGTTGTTAGATCCCGTCGAGTCAGTTCGGACCCATAGCGACCCTGTATAGGGTTTCCAAGGAGCAACTGGTGAGCTTGAACCACTGACCTTGTGGTTCAGACCGACTTTGCAGTCCAGCACATTAATCCACTGCACCACACACACCAGGGTGAAAAATCAGTTGTCAATCTGATTCCAACTATGGAAGCCCAGAGTAGAATTGTGGTCCATACAGTTTTCATCTGCTATGATCGCTCAAAAAACAATCATCAGGTCTTTCTTCCAAGGCGTCTCTGCTGTTGACACAAACCACCAACGTTTTGATTAGTAGCCAAGCATGTTAACCATTTGCACCACCCAGGCAGCCAGAATATAGAAAGTTGCTCATGAAAGATGTGGATTCCCATGAAATCCAGCCTCAGCCTGATCCCACTGAGAGCTCGGAGGCAGGAACATCTCCACAGAGATGTCCCACTTTGAGGCCAGCCAGTAGCCTTTGGAACCTATATATTACCTTAACTTTGGGATGTCCCAGGGGAAGGATGTAACCGCCTAAGCATTTCCCCAGCTGGAGGCAGTTGCTTTCCATTCAGCAAAGTTCTCAGGGGAAGGAAGGAAGCATCTGCATACTATTAACAGCCCACTCTCACAGCTGCTGAAGGCTAGCAAAATTGGCCTTGTAGAGAGGATCTAGGTAGGACACCAACAGCCTCAACTGCATGTTTGGGGGATGGATTCTTGGAGGTAAAACGTCTGGCTCTCTAAAGCCTTTGAATCATATGACCAGTTTGGCTTCTCCAAAGACTGACCTGGTTTTTCCTCCCGTCCATCTTGGATGAGAGTAGCAGCTTCCCCACAATCACATCAGCCCTGGGGTGTTTCTCCCCAGTCTTTTTCATCCTCACCAATCTGATAGAAGAAAAATGGCATTTTCTTTTCATGTGCATTTCCTTGATTACCAGAGAGATAGAACACTCTTTTCTTCAGTTTTGTGAACATCCTTTATGGCTGTTATTTTTAAACCAAGTCACTGTTAGCATCCTTTTGGTTCACTTCCAAAATCCAGTTCCAGAAGGTTTCTTTTCTCACTTGCATTCAGCTCCCCTGCAAAGTCTGAGCAGGGCTACGTGTTCTGGTTGGCTCTGAGGAAGTCAGCATTTGTATCTCAGTGGTTCCTCCTCCACAACCCCACCTTCACCTCCTCAGGGCAGAGAAAGCAAAATGATACCTGCAAGCAGGTCACCAGCTATCTTCCCAGGGGCTGTGGGGAGGACCAGCTGTGTCCTCCTCTGTCTGCCTTGGCACCTGTGCTGCATGTCTAGATAACCTGCCATTCTGCTCTCTTCTTCCAGGCCTTTGAAGACTATTACCTTGACACCAAGCCCAATGTGCAAGCCTTGCTGGAGTCCACAGACAAGGTGTTCACGTTCATCTTTGTGTTCGAGATGTTACTTAAGTGGGTAGCGTATGGCTTCAAAAACTACTTCACCAACGCCTGGTGCTGGCTGGACTTCCTCATTGTGAACGTGAGTGACTTTGTGGGCATGCGTGGGGCAAGGGGGTTGCCACCTCTGACTGATTACTGAAGCTTCTGCAAAGGAAGCTCTTAAGACTGTTCCTCAAGGGCTATTCCAAAGAAGTTTCAAGTATTTAGTTAGCAAAGAGTCTGAGAAGAGCCTTGCACACCTGAGAATGCTGAGGTCCAGGCAGCATATGATGCTGGCACAATGGTGACCCTCAGTTGTGTTCTCAGGCAGAATGACCACTTACTGCCCTCTGCATTTTGCACCCAAAGCAAGATTACTTTACAAAGCTTTCAAGGTTTAATGGCCCAAGGACTTCACAGCACAATCTGCTGATTCAATGGTATCTCAGTTTGGTTTCTCTAGAATACCAAAACCAGTGAGGGGTGTGTGTGTCTATATATGGAAAGGGAGAGAGAAAAAGAGATTTACTTCAAGGAAATAGTTGATGCAACTGTAGGGCATGGCAAGTCTGAAACCTATCGGTCAGAAGGCAGGCTGGAGACTTTTGCTGGCGCTCACATGGTTACGGAGCAGATGAACCCAAAATCTGCAGGTCATTGGTTCATGGAGTTACAAGGGCTGGCAAATCCAAACTCTACAGGTAAAGAGGCAGATCAGAGACTTCTGCAGACATAATGTCCCAGGAACTAGATAGAACTTTTCAGAACATCCATTTGTATTTGGGTGAAAGCCACATCCTCAGGGAATGTCCTCTTTGAAGTGATTGGCTGATCACATTCGATTACATCCTGAAACATTATTATAATACATTATGGAAAACCAATCAGTCCAGTATCTGCTAAGCTACTGCAAATAAATCATAGCCCAGCCAAATTAACACATAACATTAACCATCTCAAGTGGTTATAATCCTAACTGTACTGTTCAATCACCTGCTAACCAGAGAGTCTGATTATATTGTTCTTGGATGAGGCCCAAGCATCAGTATTTTATAAAAATACCCCAGACATTTCCAATGTGGGGGAGCTCAGGTTGAGAACCAGAGCTTATACCACTGACTCCTCTAGAGTGTGTCCCTTTGGAGAGGTAATGGGCTTGTTGTTGTTGTTGTTGTTAGGTGCCATCAAATTGCTTCTGACTCATAGCAACCCTATGCACAACAGAAAGAAATACTGTCCAGTCTTGTACCATCCTCAAAATTGTTATGTTTGAGCCCATTTCTGCTGCCGCTGTATCAAACCCATCTTGTTGGAGGTCTTCCTCTTTTTCACTGACACTCCACTTTTCCAAGCATGATGGCTTTCTCCAGAGAATGATACCTTCTGATGACATATCCAAAGTGTGAGAGATGAAGTTGTATAATCCTTACTTAGCATTGTGGCTGTACTTCTCACAGCATAGAACTGTTTGTTCTTCTGGTAGTCCCCGGTACTTAAAATATTCTTCTTCAGCACCATAATTCAAATGCATTGGTTCTTCTATGGTTTTCCTTATTTACTGTGTAACTTTCACATGCATGTGAAGCAATTGGAAATACCATGTCATTGGTGGAGTTTTTGTATTCAGACTTACAGTAGCCTGTGGTCATTAATGCCTGAATTAGGAAATTTACCAACTGCCCACCACACAATGGATGTGTGATTCCTTAAAGTGATAAGAGGACCATTTCCTCAAAGTCTCCCAAGAGCCTTCCTACCCCACCCCACCAAAGTCAGGAGTGATCTCTCCCTCTTCTTAAACACTTCATTGTTCTAACTATCCAGCCTATTGTCGTCTTGGTTTTGCAGCATGGCTATATGAGGTATTTGCTCGTTGATGTACTTCTGAGGCTTCTTGCAGACAGAGTGAAGCATGTGCTCGGTTATTCTTGGCCTCCCCCACTCCAACTATTAGCCCCAAGGTCTGCATATTGAAGGTGCTCAGGAAATGTGTCTGTATTTGGTGCCTGCCTCCTAAAGCTGGATGGAGTCCAGTACAGAACATTCTGTCCAGGCTCCTGTGTTGGCAGGTCCTCCCACAGTAGTCCTGTGATCATAAGACTGGGAGGCCTGAGGTGTGAATCACAGGTGATAATTTTATACAGATAAAATCATTATTCATAAATGAAGATACAATGTTTTGCTTTTGCTACCCACCCTTGTTAGGGGCACTGTCATGCCTGTGTAGTTCTCAGTCGTTTTAATCCTAATCACTTTAAATGGTAACCCATTCATCCATTCATCCTCTTACTGTTTCTTCCTTCTAATCATTTATCCTTCCTTCCATTCATCCATCTTTCCAAGCATTTATCTTTACCTTTTTTCTTCCTTCCAAGCATCCATCCACCTTTTCTTCTTCTATCTATCTGTCTTCATCAGTCCTCTCCTTCTATTCATCCATTACCCTTCTTCTTTCCTTCTTCCTTTCTGCCCATCCATGTATCCTAATCGCCCTTCCTTCCAACCATCCATTACCCTTTAAGCATTCTAACTTTTGATATGACCTTTGATCCATCCTGCTATACAGCTATCCAATAATCTAATCACCTATTCATCCATTCATGCAACTACCCTCCAAACATCCTTCTACCCATTAACTCTTTTATGTTTCCATTCCTCCTTTAAACCACTCATCCTTCCTTTTCTTTTACTCATCTCTTCTCCTTCCTTTGTTTCAGCTATCCATCTATTCATCTAATTAATCTTTCATCCATTCAGATGTCTATTAGATCTATCCATTCTATCCAAATTTCCATTCATCTAATAGTCATTTTATTCAGCCAGCCATCTTTCCCCCATCCATTCATCCATCCTGCAATTGAACCTTTTTCTTTCTTCTTTTATCCTCAACAATCAAGTATTCTATTAACCATGGTATCTTTTTAATTCTGTGTAATCATCCTTCAGTCTTCTGTCCAGTTGTTCTTCCTTCGTTCTCCCCTTCCTTCCATCTATACTGACAACTACTGAATATAGGATTGCCTTGTAAAGTTCTCTGAAAAGAATCAAAATATAAATATAAGGGGATATTAAAAAGTTCATAGTAAAGTTCTATTGTCTTTTATTTCCATTTTCCCACTAACTTCTTGAAGCCCCCTCATATTCCCTATATGCAGGTGTTTATACTTTAATTCTTCCAGCAAATAATACACACAGAAGGAAGTAAACATATTGTCAGGGGGGATGCTGAAGACATTAGTGTCTTGGAAATGCAAGAGGCATGAGCCTGCTTTGACTTGGAGGGTGAGAATGGTTGGAAGGCTTCATTTTGGGGATGGCATGAGCAATGGGGCTTATAAATGAACAGGGTCTCAGTGAGTGTGAAGAGGACTGGAGAGGTCAGTATTGATTAAAGATGACCCAGAGAAAAGGCATAGATATAGGTGTGGTCAGGAAAAAAAATTGGTTTAGGTAGAGTATACACATGAATAAAGGCTGAAAAAAAAAAATTGACTGTGACTACATAATCCAAGACAAGGAGTCTAGAGCTTATCCCAAAAGTGAGAAATCACCAGTGAAAGTTAGGAATAAGACAGCGGCATATTCATAATCAAAATTACATTGGAGTACTGATGGGAACAATCCATTCCAGGGACCTGGAGATGCCTTAGTAGAAAATGGAGCTGGGATTGGAATGACAAAACTGTGCTGGAAAGGTCCCAACCCTTGACTGCTCCCACTGCAGATTTTGCACATGAGCAGCTTTCCCAGGCAAGCAAGCAAAAACCGTATATAAGATTTCTGGTTCTGGCAGCTGCTGAGACAGTCAGGTAGGACAGGCTCCATGGGGGAGGGACTGAAAACTCAGAGAAGCTGCTTTCACGGAACAGCACCAGAACTCTGGATCTAGCATAAGGTGCAGGGTGTTGGTTTCCCGCACACGCCAGTGAAAAAAATCATGGTATAAAGGAAAATACTGTGATTTAGGAAGTACGCTAGACATGGGACTCCTCTGAGGCCACCCCGCCCAGGCGGAGTTCAGAGGGTGGGGCTACAGCCAGACAGCACAGGGAACTGGCCTAAAAGCAGTGCAGTGACATTTGCAAAAGGAAATGTGGGGGGATTCTACACATTATTTCCTCCTCTTCCCTGTCGTGCCTTCCTTGCCCAGCCTAGACGCTTCAGTGGTTGGGTGTGCACCCCTAAATAAAAGTCCAGCATTGAGCCCACAGTTTTCCCATGGCACAGAGAGAAAAAAATCATATGGGACCTAAAGGCAAATTCTTTGGCAGCTGCTTATGACGTCAGCCTCTGGTCGCAGCCCAAAAATTAACTTGTGCAGGACCCTTTACTCCGGCATATCCAGCAAGAAAAAAGCAGGCCTGTCAGGTCTGACAGACAAACCATATGAACAATCTTTAAACCCCAACATAAAAGGACACATCTATCTTGAGAATTACGCTAGGCACACGCAGATACCTAACTGACCTCCATAGACAAGAATAGTAGACAGTCTTTCTCCCATTAACTTCTCAATAGCTATCTAAGCACTTCTATAGTGGTGACTAGAGGAGGGGCCTGAGCTAGTGGACACCCCCACCCACTGTTGGTGGCCTCTATGGTGCACACACACTACCTGTGTAGCAAGGCAACTGTCCAATCAGCCACAGTTTTATATTTGTTTCAAAGTGGTGGTTTTTGTCTCTGCTTTTATATTGCTTCTGTTTTTGGTCCTTTTGATCACACTCTTTTCCTGGAGGTGGGAGCTTTTTCTCCATACATTATCCAAGAAGAGACAGCGATCGTGGCCATATAGCCAAGCTACAAGCATACCCCATAATATTACACCATTGAGACAAGAGCCAATAACAGCTGCTAAGTATTACATATGAAAAGGGAAGCCTATCTCCTGATCATATCCACCAGGAGACACACAGTAATCTTAATAACACAGCAACAAATATCCAATTAAGCATTAAAAACTCACATAACTACTGGAAATTACCAATAAAACACAACGTAAGATCTCAAAACATGTCCAAAACCAGAAAAGAGTAACTGAGATAAAGAAGCTAGAGACAGACAAAGGCTTTCCAGAAGAGGAAGAGCAGATTTTGGATT